TTCCGAATTCAGTTTTTCTTAAATAACTTATTTAACATCGAGTACACTATTCTAAACTATTATTGGTGTAGGTACCTATCGGCTTGCGAGGCCAGTTGGAGGTTATTTGGATTTGATATTCACTATAGAGACCCAGCTGTAGTGCGATTGAGTTTTCATCTGCCTGACTGTCAAACAGTTGTCGTCAATGATAACCAACATTTACATAATGTGCTGAACAGACCGTCTGCTAAACAAACAATGTTCTTAGCTTGGTTTGAAGCAAATCAGAGGTATCCAGAAGCTAGAGATATTAAGTATGCAGATTTTCCACAACAATTCGTGTACAATGAAAACTCCTTGAGGTGGCAGCCTAGAAAAAGAGGGTTTGCAATTGGAAGAATTAGAAGTGTTCCCCCAGGAAAGGGAGAAGACTATTACCTAAGACTGCTACTTAATATTCAGAAAGGCTGCACAAGCTTTGAAGATATCAGAACTGTGAATAACAACATTTACCCAACATTTAGAGATGCATGCTATGTATTGGGATTATTAGATGATGATAAAGAGTACATAGATGCTATCAAAGAAGCAAGTATATGGGCAAACGGAGCTTACATCCGAAGGTTATTTGTTGTCCTGTTGATTTCAAATAGTTTAACCAGACCAGAACATGTTTGGGAAAGTTGTTGGTCAGATTTGTCGGATGATATTGCATACAAACACCAACAACGTCATAATAATCCAGGTATGTCATTTTTTAAATGGCCTATGCATAATATTTTCATTTGTTCAGTAATTTAATTTTAACTTCTATTTTTTTTTTCAAGCAAACAACCTTGATAAAATATTATCATCTCTTCATAAACGCAGATTTGACTTTATCAGACGACAGCTTGAAAAATTATGCTTTACTTGATATTGAGAAAATCATGCAAAGCAACGGTAAGAGTTTACGTAATTATGACTCTATGCCGCTTCCAATTGAATCGATGTTAAATGAAAGTGGAAATAGGTTAGTACTCGATGAACTAGAGTATGATGTGTTTGCAATGCGTGACGAACTTGCAAAGTATCTCTCTACTATCACCACAGAGCAGAACAAAGTTTATGATACAATCATGTCTGCTGTAACAAACAAGAGTGGTGGAATGTACTTTTTGTATGGTCATGGTGGGACAGGAAAGACATTTATATGGAAAACATTATCTGCTGCAATTCGTTCCAGAGGAGAAATTGTTATTAATGTTGCATCAAGTGATATTGCATCCCTACTACTTCCCGGCGGTAGAACAGCTCATTCTAGATTTGGACTCCCAATAATTGTACATGAGGGTTCCACTTGCATCATCAGTCAACAAAGTCCACAGGCAGAGTTATTGATGAAAGCAAATCTTATTATATGGGATGAAACGCCAATGATGCATAGATATTGTTTCGAAGCACTAGACAGCACCATGAGATCTATCTTACAGTCGGATGAACCTTTTGGTGGTAAGGTGGTCGTTCTTGGAGGTGATTTTAGGCAAATTTTGCCGGTTATTTTAAAAGCATCCAGACAAGATATTGTTCATGCCACGATCAATTCATCACCTTTGTGGAAAAATTGTAAAGTCCTAACGTTACACAATAATATGAGACTTCAATCTTCTGTTTCTTCCTCTACTGTAGAGGAAATAAAGGAATTTGCAGATTGGATACTAAAAATTGGTAATGGTGAGGTTGGAGAGGAAAACGATGGTGAAGTTTCAATTGAAATTCCACATGATATGTTAATTCGTGATTCGGACGACCCCTTTTCAGAGTTGTTGCAGTTTGTTTATCCAGATTTCTTAAGTAATATTTTACTCCAGATTACTTCCAAGGTAGGGAAATTCTTGGACCGACTAATGAAAGTGTGGATTTTATTAATGATTATTTGTCGTCACTCATCCCTGGAGAAGAGAAGGAATATTTAAGCTCAGATAGTATTTGCAAAGATGAGGCAACTTCTGAAGTTAACACGAAAATTTATTCAGCAGAATTCCTCAATACCATAAAAATGCTCCGGACTTCCTTGACATAAGTTGAGATTAAAAGTTGGGGTTCCGGTTATGCTCATAAGAAATATTGATCAAGCTAGAGGATTGTACAATGGAACTAGGCTTCAAGTTACTCAAATGGGAACCCACGTTATTAACTGTAAGATTCTTTCTGGTAAACATGTTGGTGATATGGTATTCATTCCTCGAATGACTTTGATACCTTCAAATTGCACATTGCCAATCAAATTTCAACGGCAACAATTTCCGGTGATTGTTTCATTTGGCATGACGATTAACAAAAGTCAAGGTCAAACACTTTCACATGTCGGACTATACCTTCCACGCCCTGTTTTCAGCCACGGACAATCATATGTGGCATTGGCATTGTCTAGAGTAAAAAGTAGGTCCGGCATAAAAATACTCATCAACTCTGAATCGGGTGAACTGTGCAATTTCACTAATAATGTTGTGTACAAAGAAGTGTTTCAACAAATTTGAGGTACATATTTATTAACATCACATTTTCAAACAATATGGTATCTTTTTTATTATTTTTATTAATACATTTCATGCACGTACAGGTCTATTGGCAATAAGTACTCTCCAACATACTTTCTCCCAAGGTAATTTAATAAAAATATTTTTTGGTGGATGTTACTTTATTAGTAATGGTTGATTTGAACCCAATTTTTATTATCATTGTGATGTTATTTTTCTTGATGATGTAGGTGCATTGAAGAAAGTGTTGTATCATTTGGTTAGAACAATATATGTATTTTAAGTGTAACATATAAGTATTAAAAAAACCATATTTTTTTCTAAATTTGTTAGAATTATTTTTTCCCTAGGTATTCGATTATGTGTTACAATATGACGAAACAATTATCATAATATTCACCGTGTATCGCACGAGTGTATTACTAGTAATAGTAATAATAGTAATAATAGTAATAATAATAATAATAATAATAATAATAATAATAATAATAATAATAATAATAATAATAATAATAATAATAATAATAATAATAATAATAATAATAATAATAATAATAATCATAATAGTAATAATAATAATAATAATAATAATAATAATAATAATAATAATCATAATAGTAATAATAATAATAATAATAATAATAATAATAATAATAATAATAATAATAATAATAATTTATAACAATAATAAAAAATAAAAAACTCATGCACGTACCTCTGTAGCATTGATGACAGCAGCAACAACATCAGGAACATATCTGTCAACTGAGCCATGGTTAACTTTCCTTGCAAGATTGCGTATTGGTAATCGGATCCACCGATTTCTCCGACGAAGAAAATTGCCTTGTTGTATCTGTCGGTACAACCTGCCGATTATTGGATCAAGAACAACGTAACTAGTCACGTGTTAATTAGTAACTAAAAGAATAAAAGTAAGAATTACGTGAAGTGATTAAGTAATTACCATTATCATTGAGACACGTGGCGGAGCTGAAATAGTCGGACATCCAATCCAATTGGACATTGAGAGAACTATTCGTCACCGGAGACGAAATCATGTATTTCGTCGTTAATACTTCCGTCGGCAAAGCTGTGGACCCCGCCACGGCGAAGTTTACTCCTTTATTGAAATAAAAATTCAAATCCTTGTAGGGATCAGGAATCGGATTAATCCCTGCCTCGTACGCTAATCAAGAACAACGACAAAAAATTAAAACAAACGATCAGTACACATATTAATTAATTAAAATACGAAAATCGTAGCAACAAATTGAAATTACTAGTGAAAATTGAATTAAAAAAAAAAAAGAATTTATAAGAAGAAACTACTTACCAAAATTATCGGTGATCAACAAGCCGTTAGAGGAGCGGCCATGCGAGTAGGGTTGTTTACCGAAGGGCAAAGTAGAGCCGACGGTTTCGCTGATCAAATTACCGGTGTCGGAAAGGGACCCGCCGAGTAGGTACATCTTATCGAATCCGCACTTCTTCAACGGATTAATTACGTTGCCGTTCGGGTCAATCGAATCTGGGTTACCGAGATTAGTCATGCCGGTACCGTACCAATTGGCGTCACCGTACGTGTAGAGTATGTGGCCCAAATGAATTCTTTGTGAATGGCCCATTAAAATCCCACCTTGCAACCCACTTACGAGCAGCCCACAAAATTTGAGCCCAAAATTAAAAGTCAGCCCAATCTCACTAGGTTTTCCCTTTCTCTCTCTCTTCACCTCTTTTTTCTTATATCGGTGTTTTGTTTTTCCCAGCAGATTTGTTTTCTAATCTGCTCCTTTTTTCTCTCAACAAATCTTGGTGATTTGTTACCTAATTCTTAGTGAGTTTGGTAGATGATTTGGGTGTATAAGTGCACCCTTTTCTTTTTCTGTGTGAGACGTGAGAGACGGAAAAAAGGCGTGAAAAATAGAGACAGAAAAATAGAGTCGAGAAAAATACTTTGTGTATTTTGAGAGGGAAAAATAGAGTGAAAAGAGAGAAACCTTTTTTGAGAAGCAAAGCTCGATTCTTTCAATGAATTCGAGCTTACTTCTTTAGGGATAAACTGGTGAGATTAGGGTGTGAATTTGGGTTTCGTTTTTCTTCGTTTTGTTCGTTGGAATACACTGTGTGTGTACGTGTGTGTGGCTGCCGTGAGTGTTGGAGGCCCCACTTGGATCTTGGACGAGGACTCGGAGATTGAGGACTGAGCCGGATAATCGACGACCGCCGGAGCAGCCGTCGGAGGAACTTTCGTTTGCAATTCTGTGTGAATTGCTCGGTTTTGTCTCTTACCCTTATTTATTTTTCTGCATGAATTAAATCACGTTTTATTCTAGGTTAATTGAGCATTAATATTTTATTCTTAAAATATTATGATCTGATTGTTGGTTTTGCTGATTGTTGAGTGATGCTGTCGTCGTTTGTTGCTGATTAATGCTGTTGGCGCCATATTTCCGACTATTGAAGATCGAGGAAATCCGCCAAGTTTTGGAATTAAAAGATTGGCAAAGATTTGTTTTCCATATTTATTTTGGAATTTATTAGAGTCCTATTCTTATAAACTTCTATTAGGACTTAGATTTATTTCCATGTATTTCATTCTAGTTAGGTATCTTTTGTACTTATCTAGAATAGAAGTAGAAATCAACTAGGATTCTATTACCTAGTTAAATAGATTTCTTGGGGTTCAAGTTAGGTCTTAGGGCTTATTTTCGTGGCTATATAAGCCTCCAAGACATACAAGAACCGTGTGCATTATTTGGGAGAAAAACCTCTTCATAGCATCGAAGTTTTGCCAAGGCGTTCTGCGGAGCAGGACTGTGCCATCGTTGCACTGTGCCAACATATACAGATTTGCTGTATAGATCTCAAGGGAGATCAGCCGTGTTTTCTGAAGGGAGTTCAGGCTTGAAGAAAGTTCAAGGCACGCGGGTGGAGCTGCTGTTGGAAGAAACACGAAGTTCGAGTTGTGTACAAGAACGGCATATCACATAAAGAGGGAGTCTTTAGTGTTTTTAATAAGTCCTATTAATGTACACTGTAAATCTGAACTAGTGAAATCGTGTTTGCAGGTCCACGTGGATGTAGGGCACATTTGTGTCTGAACCACATTAATTTCTTGTGTTCATTTATTTGCTTTAAGTAGTTTATAACTGTGTTAACACAAGAATTATAGTTGTAACTGAATACTGTTTCCACAACTTGACTGTTACAACTTAGGTTAATTGATTTCTATAGGCATATAAATTAACAATTGGCATCAAGAGCCTCTCACTAGATAAACATAGTGTGTGATTTTGGGAATTTGATTTATTTGCCATTTTCTTCCATAGGTACTATGAATGCTCATATGGAAGGCGGTTCCACGACTCGCCCACCACTGCTTACTGGAACCAATTACTCTTATTGGAAGACCAAGATGAAGATGTTCATCAAGTCAATGGATGAAGATGCATGGCGCACAGTTCTGACTGGCTGGAAACGACCTGTTGCCACAGATGAAAAAGGAATTCAAACTGAGAAACATGAAAAAGACTGGAGCAAAACTGAACAGATTGCCGCAAATATGAATTCCAAAGCATTGAATGTCATATTCAATGGAATTGATATCAATCAATTCAAAATCATCTCAGCATGTGAGTGTGCCAAGGAAGCATGGGAAAAACTTCAAACAGCCTATGAGGGGACTACCTCTGTTAGATTATCAAAACTTCAGATGCTTGCTACTCGTTTTGAGGATCTTCGGATGGAGGAAACTGAAACCGTGAGCGATTTCAACTCCAAATTATGCGACATCGCAAATGAAGCCCATGGCCTCGGTGAAACTTACCCTGAAGTAAAACTTGTTCGTAAAGTGCTGAGATCTATGCCAGACCGGTTCGCATATAAGGTCACTGCTATAGAGGAAGCAAGTGATGTGGACTCATTGCGGCTTGAAGATCTGATCGGAAATCTACAGACCTTTGAAAACAAGCTGAACATCAGTAGAATGGATAAAGAGAGAAAAATCGCTTTACAAACTGTGTCTGTTGTGACACCATCCGTGCCCTCAGCTCCCATGACAGCACTCGAAGTCAAGCTAACAAAATCCATGTCTCTAATAGCCAAAAACTTCGGAGAACTCGTGAAAATGAATGGACATCCCAGAAGTCCTACAAACAAGCGAGAAGTTAGGAAGGGGATTCGATGTAGAGAATGTCGTGGCTATGGTCATATTCAATCTGAATGTGCAAACACTCAAAAGAAGCAAGGAAAATCACTTGCTACAACCTGGAGTGACGATAACCTTGAATCTGATGATGAAAGTGAAGCAAGTGATGCTGAAACTAGTATTGACTTCTGTGGTACATGCAGGGTTACTGACGTGACACAAGATGTTGTCACATGCACTGAACCACCACACCTCAGGTATGTTACTCGTAATCTCGAGAGTCATAGAAATTTAAACACAATTTTTTTGCCCACAGGAGAAGAAGATTCAGAGGATGATGAAGAATGCTCCATTGAGATGATTCAACAGCAACTGAATGATCTTCTAAAGCAATGTCATGAGGTTAGTGATGAAAACAAGCGTTTGAAGGAGAAAGTAAAGGAACTGGAAGAGGAGAATGAAGCAGTTAAAGTCAACCTGAAGGCCAAAATCGATGAGCTTGAATTGGAAAATGAGGCACTGGAGGTAAAACATGATTTTGCTTTGAAAGATATTGACAATCTAAAAGAATTGTTGAGACATTTGCGAAACAACGATTGCAATAAGACAAGGCAGATCAAGAAAAATCCTCATTCAATGAAAAATGCTGAACCCTGCCTCAACCTGAAGTGTGACAACTCCCCTGTCGCAACAACGTTAGAGGCGTCAGTCAGTAAGTTAAATCGCACTACGATTCTTCCTTCAAAAAGGTTAGATGAAATTTTAAATGCTCATCCCTCAAATCCTGATAAACTTGGTCTTGGCTATATTGGGAGTAAGTTCGATGGTAAACCTAATCCAAATCGAAAAATTAATTTTGTGAATAATACTGTCAAACCTACTTCACAACATGTTGCCTCACAGTCTTATACAAAAAAGTTTGTGCCAACTTGTCATTTCTGTCACAAAGTAGGACATGTTAGGCCAAAATGCTTTAAAAGATGGAAATTGATAAATAAGAGTTTAGCATATCAATCATCCAATTCCGCTGCATGGGATCACAATTCCCAAAGAAGATACTCTGATAATAAATGGATGAATAAGTATAATGCAAACTGCTTTCCTGCTATTCTTTCTTTAAAAGCATGTACTACGAACTCTTGGTATTTTGATAGTGGTTGCTCCAAGCATATGACAGGTGTACCTAATTACTTGAAGAACCTGCATAATGTGTCTGGTGGACAAGTTACTCTTGGTGATGGAAACAAGGCCTTTGTGAAAGGAGAAGGTAACTTGGATGTTGGAGGATTACCTAACCTTGACAACGTTCTATATGTAGAGGGTTTGAAATCAAACCTACTCAGCGTAAGTCAGCTATGTGATCTATACGACTCAGTGTTGTTCACCAAGCGTAAGTGTGAAGTGTTTGATCGAAACCACAAGTGTGTTCTATCTGGTTATAGATCCTCTGATAATTGTTATAAAATTGATCAAACTGACCAAGTTGAACAGTGTCCCCTCACCACCTCTGATATCACAGATATGTGTTGTCATCGACTGGGGAATTTGAACTTTCAGGATCTAACACGAAATATCAATGCAGGTTGTGTGAAAAGTGTTCCCCAACTAAACTCCAATACACCAGATTTATATGGCGACTTTCTAATGGGGAAGCAAACTGAGAGCATTGGAAGAGAAATACCAGAAGACAAAATCACAGAAGTATCAGTGCCGACATCTGATGTCACAACTGAAGACGTTACCACTGGTAAAGAAGGTATGAAAACTTGCAATAAGCTGAAGGTTGACTACCAAGAAATGGTCAGGTATGTCTATTTCACTTCCACTGTAGAACCAAAAAACATCAAAGAAGCAATTCTTGATGAATTTTGGGTGTTAGCCAAGCTTGAAGAACTTGAGCAGTTTTCTCGAAATGACATGTGGGAACTGGTTCTGAGCAATGACAAGGTAAAGCAACTAGAGGATGGTGTATTTATCTCACAGAGCAAATATGCCAAGAACGTGGTAAGTAAATTTGGGTTGCAAAAGGCAAAGCCTTTAACAACACCAATGACCTCAATTGAGAAGTTGGGACGAGATTGTGATGGCACAGACGATGATTCCACACTATACAGGAGCTTGATAGGAAGTTTGTTTTATCTTTCTGCTAACAGATATGATATTCGTTTCAGTGTAGGTATTTGTGCTAGGTACCAAGCAAGCCCTAAAGAGAGTCATTTGAGTGCTGTAAAGCGCATTATCCGATATGCTAGTGGAACACCCGAATTGAGAAAATGGTATTCAAAAGATACTAACAATTGTCTTGCAGGGAACAGTGATGCTGACTGGACAGGAGATGTGGATAACAGAAAAAACATCACAGGAGGTTGTTTCTACATGGGTAACAATTTGGTATCTTGGTACAGTAAGAAACAAAATTCCATTTCCTTATCTAATGCTGCGTGTGAATACATAGCTGTAGGTAGCTGTTGCACTCAA